GACCAGGCTGGCCTTGAACTCACAGAGATCTGCCTGGCTCTGCCTCCCAAATGCTGGGATTAAAGGCGTGTGCCACCACACCCGGCCTGTTCGTGCTTTTTGATTATGGATCTTCCTTCATTCCTTCTGCATGTGTGCATAACACACACACACACACACACACACACACACACACACACACACTTTTCAATGACTTAAAAAAATCTGACTGTGACCTGAAGTTGAAACCACAAGGCAGTGTCTGGCACCAGGGTTGGGTGTTTGTAGAGAACTGCCCTTAGTAGTCATTCCAGATCACCCTTTCTAAGTCTGTGTCCCACTCTGAGTCAAAGTCATCCAGCCTAACGATCAGGCAGGAAGCTCAGAGGGATCTCATTTTTCAGACAGAACAACAATATTAAAATATGGCGTTCAAGGGAACTCTGGAATAACTAAGTCCCTCTCCAGCACTAAGTAAATGCTTCAGACTGCAGCCCTGGCATTCATGGGGCACAAGGGAGGCATTTGTTGCTATGAATATTTAGAGGCGTCTTGATTACCACTTTAATGTTACTGCACTAGTTTCACAGCCCGCAAGATCTGCACACTGTAGAATTTAAAGAGGGCAAAATTGAATTAACTGCAGGATAGCGCAGTGAGGAATGAAGGCACCACAGCACAGTCATGGGGGGCCCCACTTTGGGGCCAATTAGTTATTACATAAGTGATGGTGATTTTTATCCATAAGTTAGTGATCTTTTTTCCTCAGTGGAAAACTGATATTAGCAACCAATGTGTCCAACTGTGCAGTGGAGCACATATTCTCCATAGGAGAAGCTGCTTTTGAAAGATAATAAAGGGCTCGGGATGTAGCTCAGGGGTAGAGCATTTGTCTACCATCTGTAAAATCCTGGGTTTGATCCCTAGCACTACCAAGACAGACAGACAGACAGACAGACAGGCAGGCAGGCAGGCAGGCAGAAAGACAGGTAGACAGGTAGATAGGTAGACAGGCAGACAGACAATTGGGCAGATAGGGAGATAGACAGGCAGGCAGGCAGACAGGCAGGCAGGCAGGCAG